GTTGGAAATGCCCGCATATTTGACCCGACTATTGTATTGCTCTGGGTGGAAGACAAGAGACTATGGGACACTGGGCAAGTAGATACGTATTTGCCGACGCGCGAAACTATGAGAAAGGAAGAAGAGAGAGAAAAAGCTCTCCTTTCTTCTTTTGGAATCCATGAGTTTGAGCAGGTCGTGTATTTAGCTTAGGATATCAAATGCAAGGCACCTACCAGATGCATCCAGTCCACCTATCACATTTTATCAAACGCCCATTTTATTCCGAACAAACGCTTCAGTATCATCCAAAACCTCTTGCACGCTCTTAATAGTCCCAGGCGGAAACCCAATGAATCCATGCGGCGCTCCATGATAGATCTTGACTATACTCTCATTCCCCCACATCGCCCATTTCGCCCCCATCATCACGCTATCATCCAACAATGGATCTTCACTACCACACGTGAACAAAGCAGGCGGTAACTTCTTTCCGCGGAGGTCAGCCCAGAAAGGTGAAATGGAAGGGTCGCGGCGCTCAGCTTCCGTGGTGTTGGGAAGCAAGGCGTCAATATAAGATTTCATCACGTCGTGGTCGATTACGAGGTGTGTTTCGTGGTGCAGAACGTGGGGCAGGAAAGAGGACATGTCATAGCAGCCAAAGTGGAGAAGGAGGCCTTTGAATGCGAAATCTGGCATCGTCTCGAGGAGGTGCATGGCGACGAGGCAGGCGAGATGGCCGCCGGCGGACTGTGTGTTGTTAGCACAAGTGATTTCAATATAGGAAGAATGAGACGAGGAAAATAGAAGGGGAGACTCACCTCGCCTCCAGTAAACATGAGCTCTCCGCCGAAAACTTCAGGTCCGTTTTTGACTAGCCATTCCGCGGCGTCGTAGCAGTCTTCTGCGCCTGCGGGCCAGGGGTCTTCGGGCGCGAGGCGGTAGCCGATTGACACGACCGTTACTTCGAAGTGGTCGGCTTGGTATTTCAGGTAGGGATCTTGGCTAACATAGCTTGATTAGTTCTTCTTGCCTTCAATTTTTGTCGTTCTTCAAAACCCAATTCTCCTCCATCCATTCCTCCTTTGAAACTCTGCGTCTACGAAGAACCGAACAAATCACATCTAACTGCATGCCCTGCGGTATCCGCATCTGTAATCAGGAACGAAGAGATATAGTTACTTACTAAGCCTCGCTCATCAATACCCATCCTCCGCCATGGATGTGCATATGTATCCCCTTACTCTTCCCACTACTCGGTTTAAACACTCGATATGGGATCCCCCGTCCAGTTTCCCTAGAGGGAAGAGAACCATTTACACCTTCCGGCAAGACGATGGGCTTGGCAAGGGGAGTTTTGCCTTCCCAGCGCATCTGGCGGTACGCCGGAGCCCCGACCTATTGACCATCGTGAGCGAGAGAAGGGCTAAGGGGAAGAGGAGGAAGACACAGCGTACCTCATACCATCTCGGTCCATCAGCCCAAATCTTAATCAACTTCTCGTTGAACTCGAGTGTCTGCTTGTCAATCGTGCTGCGGTCGAACTTCGCCGCGGGGATCTTGACGTCGGATTCTAGTGACATGGTTGAATTCCTATGTTGTTTGGTTCCTTGCTCTTTCTTCCCAAGTTGTTTCAAACCTTTGCAAAAGATTTTGAGTCAGAAAATCAGATTACAAAAAAAGTCGGAGAGCAGCGAACTGTATAGGAATGTATATAACAGACAGGTTAGCAGCAATCATCGATTGTTACGTTACATGTCACATCGGGGCCGCCAACGGCCATACCACGAGCTCTGGCTATCAAAGTGGGGGCGGGGTATTTCGTATAAAGCCGGCCCTACATAGCTTGTAGTAAGTCGAGTTAACCACTTTCTGGCGCGTCCTGGTTGGACAAGTAACGATAATTACCCTCCGAAGTATGTACGGTACCTGCATTTTCGGGTTACTGTTTCGGATGACTCCGGGTGGTTGTGGTACGAGGGTTCGTGATAGGAGTTCGGTGTCTCTGCCGGTATCGGCATCAACTCTCGCTACTCCGTGCAACATTTATGCCGATAGCATACATTACACCCGTGGAGACAACGAGCACGAGCTTTTGATACTAAAATCTGAAGAATCGAGATATGTGTATTAATAGAGGGGAGTAATCTATCGCGCAGGTTTCGCCTGCAGCCTTCCTGTCGCGACACCCATGTGCCCATTCATCTGCCCTGCTCCACCACCCTTCCCCTTCCGTCTCACCCGCCGCTCGTCCCTCACAAACAGACTCTTAGCCATTGAAACCGCAATAACCGCTGTACGGAAGGGATACATGACAACGTCCCAAGCCACCTGCAACATGTAGCTGATAGTACCAGCAATCCAGCTTAGCGTCATAGCAATCACGCCGGGTCGCTGACCAGTCCTAGCAGCTGCGGCAGCCAGGGCAAGTGCATCTTTCAGTCGTGCTTCTAGATCTTGAAAGCGGGCTTCGATTTGCAGGGATTGCGCCATGTGTCTCTTTTCGTAGCGCCTGACTGCGCGGTTTAGAGCATCGAGTTGGAGTTGGGTTGTTTGTCGGACTTCTGCGCTGAGTTTCTCTACGTCTACCTCGTTGGTATTGTTATTGGTAGTCTGCACGCCATCGACGCGACCCTCTAGTTCTGAGATCCGCTGTGAGAGTTGTTGTGTGTCTGCTGATCGAACTGGCTCCCTTGGAGCTTCTCGGACGATGCGCTGGAGGTGGAGGATGCGCTCTGTCCGCATCTTGATCAGGCGGTTTACGGGTGGTATCTCGGCGATGAGAAGGAATATACTGAGGTTGGCGTCGGATACTATGCCTTCGGCGCGCATGAGTTGGCCGCGAATGGTGTGCATGAGCAGGGCGCCGAGTAGAGGACCTAGGAAGCAGCCAACGAATGCTAGCATCTCCGATCGCTTCAATGCTTCGCGGGCTTCTTTCTGCGCTTGCGAGGCCGGCGCGTTGATTGTAGTGTTGGGCTTTGGATCTTGCGACTCTCCTACAGGCTCCTCAATGCTTTCCGGCGCATCCTCGTCTTCCTCGTGTATCGTGTCGTCGTATGTCGCGTCATCTACATCGTCGTTTAGGTATCGTCGTTGCTGTGCTTCATGGTACCAGTCCCTGCATCGCGTTAGCTATGGAGTTCACGTGTAGTTACTGCATTGATGCACTCACCATGGTACTTTGACACTCCAATGTAGAAACCACCCCGCTAATACCAGTATCAACACGTCTGTAGCGACGTCTGCGCCGTTGTCTACTGTCAACCCAATGATGGCAGGTACGACGGCAGCCACAACAGGCAGCGCAAGCCACCGTGACGGCTCATCTGAAGTCGCATGTTTGTCCATGTCATTCCTCCCACTCGTTCTGAGCAGGCTGTCGCTAGACGATCGCAACGAATAGCGCGAGTCGGAGAGGTCGGAAACGAGGGAACTGCGGCGTCGAGGGGGTGCTGTAGGTGGAGTGGAAGGCCGCGCACCCTCAGCAAACGTGGCGGCGCGGTTCAGCATCCTCTGGCGAAGTTGAGGGTGAATGCCTTGTCCATCGGCCGGCGCAGTGTCCATGACGGACCTCCGGGAACTGGTTGGCGCTGGGAAGAAGCAACGTGGAGGACAGCGTTGTCGATCGGTGCCTAGACGTCGCTTCAAGAAGGCGCGACGTGACGGAGATGCGGATCACCTGATCGCGATGGTTGCAGGCGCCGTGGAAACATGGCGGAGGCTCTGGTAATGCTCCCACGTACTAACCTGACGGTCGTGTGCCGTAGTGGAAGACGCCTCGGAGCGAGTCGTTTGTCTTACGTCATGGCTTGTTTGGGTCAGTTGTAGGGCTGGGTCCCTGTCCGACCTCCCTCACGACATGCGCCATCGCCCAGCCTTCAACATATTGACAGACCCATCCGGGAATCCTTCGCGGCGTTCAGGTGCTGTCAAGTGGTATTGACCATTCCTTGTATCTCCGGGCAATCAGACGATGGCAATCACTTTGACCATGCCGCACGTGTGGCGACCTACTGCTGTGTAACCCAGCGTATCTTGCGGGGATCAAAGAGACGACAAAGCGCTGCAGAGACTCGTGCAAGTTTCAAGGGCAGTATACCATTCGATGAACACAAATCTTTGTTGGTATACTCATGCCCGGTGCCTCTTGCCTGAATGCGACGATTCATCGCGCAGCTTCTCATCCACTAACACTCACTTTCGGACTCCGATTGCGACAGATACATCCAGAACTTGGCACCTCAACACCGGTTCCTGGACGCATGTCACTGCAGGGCTGGATAATCTGGATAAACCCGCCACGTACAACCCGACCTGCAACCATGCCACAGGTGCGGGGACTCAACACCTCCTTTCCCATTCCTCTATTCTCTGATTGCTCCTGTTACTTATCACAGACATGTTTCGTCTCCTTCTTGTTGGTTTTCTATTCAGATGTCGTCTTTTCGTGGTCTTTCTCTATTCAAACCCAAATGCGGAGTAGTCGAGGTCTCAGCACCATCACCACCACAGCACAGCAACCAGATATTGCGAGCACTAGGCACCGCTGTGCCGAAGCGACGGATTAGTGCGTTTCAGAAAGACTATGATTGACGTTGGCAAGCGCAATAAGAGAGATGCCATGCGAGCGGCAGATTGGCTTTCACCACACAAGTGAACGTAAGTCGACCAAAAGATCCTATTGAGCCGTATTGAAGCTTGAGACATCGGAATTTTCTATTGAGCCTCCTACATACTCGGCCATAGCATGGAGTGATGAAGTCCACAACGCTGCTTGTCGACTGCTCACTACTCTGTTTCTTTTTCCTCTCGTTACAATCTCTTTCATATCTTAAAATCCCAACGCAGCCTAACAATCTATCCTGGAGATGGTAGCATCAACAGTTCCAACGAGGTCCCTTCAACGACGGTTACATTCGTGAACTGGATTCAGGCCTCCGAGTTTACAACATCACAAGAGACTGTCTACCTTCTTCTGTTTTTTCCTCCTCTTTACACCAAGTTACGCAGAGGTTGTAATGGATCCAATCTCGGCCATGATGGAGTTCATGACTGCCCACCCAGAATTCTTCGGACCAAACGCCCCTCTCTACCCCTCCGCCATCCTCTTCCCCGCTTTTGCCTTCCCATCCTGGCTCCTCTGTATGGCCCCTATGATCTGGCATTTCCGCCAAGCCAACATCGCGGCCGGCTCCCTCATCCTTTGGATCATCCTAGCCAACTTCTTCAACTCTATCAACGCACTCATATGGCCTCGCGACAACGTACAGGAATGGTGGGACGGTGCCGTCTGGTGCGACATCCACGTTCGTCTCCAGGTGGGTAGCTATGTTGGTATGACAGCTTCGGTGGCTCTGGTCATACGCAAGCTTGCCATTGTCATGGATACGAATAACATGACAGTTTCGACAAGCCGGAAGAGTAAGATGTGGGCTAAGATCTGGGAAGTCGTTTGGTGTTGGGTTGTGCCAGGCTTCTTCATCGCCCTCTACTACGTCGTGCAACCCGCTCGCTTCTTCATCTACGGCATCGTAGGATGTATATCGGCCCATGACAGTTCGTGGCCTAGCGTCGTCTTGGGCTTCATGTGGCCAACCATCGGCATGTTATTCGCTTCCTACTGGGCTTGTAAGTCTCACCTGTTTCTCCAACATGACCCCAACTAACCACACCCAACAGCCCTGCTCGTCTACCGTCTCTACCGTTACCGCCGCGAATTCCACCGTCTAGTCGCCGCCCGCAACACTACCTCATCACGCTTCGTCCGCCTCTTCATCCTTAGTCTAGTCGTCGTCCTTGTTTACCTGTCCTACTCCATTTACCTCCTCGTCGACGTATCATCATGGATCACAACGCCTTATTCCTGGTCTTCGGTCCACAATCCCGACACTGTCAACAACATCGTAAAGATTCCCGTCATGGGGACTGTTAGCTTCGAGAAGTGGGTCCAGGTTGCGACGGGGTATGTTACGTTTTGTCTGTTGGGTACGGGGGTTGATGCGAATGCGCACTATAGGCGGGTACTGGTGAGGATGGGGGCGGGGAGGATTTTTCCTAGTCTATACGCTCAATCTGGTGACAGGAGGACACCGAAGAGGACTTCGGCTGCGAGGGCTTGGACCTCGAATGTGTCCAGCAAGGCGAAGAGTATGCTCTGGTCCAGCAGATCGGGGTCAACACTTGCCGGATCAACCATCACCGGATCGATCATCACAGACTCCACAAAGGACACTTCCGCCGACCTTACAAGCCATGAATTCGTCGGCCTGGACTCCATACCCCGGCTACACAGCGTCACGACGCAAGACACATTGCTCTCACAGAAGAACAATGCTTCGACCTCACCCATCCCATCCACACCCTCATCACCACAACCCTCATTCTTCCGCCGCTACTTTGCCCGACCTTCTTTCTACGGACCACTGCTACCCCTCTTCTCACATCCCAGTATCGCCGAGATTCCTACTTCGAACCATACTTGCGCCACCGACACGAGCGAGTCGATCTCCTCGTCCACGACTATCAAGCCGCCAACTGGTGTGCATGCGCGTGCTTGGGCTGAGGAGGCTTTGCCTTCTTCCTCCATTGAGGGTCATGTAGTCGGTAATAGCGTACACGTTGTGAGGGAGGTTCAGATGCGACGGGATGAGAAGGCTGGTAGTGAGTGTGAGGTAGAGGGTAAGGAGATGAGGGATTGGGCTTGAGGGGAGGTGGTCGATGCAAGGTAAAATGCGACTGGTTGGCTGTGAGAAGATGGTTTACTTCATTGTGGTCGTGGTGACTGCAGATGTTTTGACATGATATATCAGGTATCTTTCTTTCCTTCGCGTGGTAGTATAGTGTAGTAATGAGGTTTTTGCCAAACCAATCCTCGCAGAGATATCCCTCTTGATCATGCATGGTGAGAACTCGCCCGTAACACACTCACATCGAATCTCTCTCAACCAGCGGTAAGAAATGAAGATTGGTTATCGATAAGTCACATCCCAATTGTTTCCAGGAGAGCATCACATCCCCAGCATCCCTGTCGGCTAAGACTCAGGTCGCGCACATTGCACCATTTTCACGAATTGTCACATCAAGTTCACACACAGAAGGAGCAATATTGTCGTGAAGCATTTTTGATTCCGTTATCGCATGTCCACATGGCGACGCATCAGTCAAAGGCAAGCCTCCGCAAGGGGAGGGCTCGCCGGTGTTAGAGTGACCGTCGTAATCAGTGTTCAGATAAACTCCCGTGAGAACCCAATGTGCCATTCAGGCGATTGACCAGCATTCCATAACGTTCCCCAGTCCAGCACAGTCGTCACCCTCCGAAGTAGTAGTTGAAAGCTCGCGTGCCGCAATCCGCCGTATGACGTAACCTGAAGGTTGGATTGCGCAATGTAGTCAAATAAGTTGCGAGCTGGTCGGAAGGTCGTGCGTAGAAAACGTGTCGTTTAGTGATCGTGATCGTTCAGAACTGAGGTTGGAATTGCTGAGATTGAGGGGCGAGACGTTTATTTGCTGGAAACATTTGTTAGATTCGGACGACACTGGCAGTGGTGATGTGGTGAGAACTTACGAACGAGCCCTAGTCTTTCTTCTCTTGCGCTTGAGACGTCGAACGCGCTTCTTCCTCCATTTGGCTCTCATCTTGTCGGCGGGCTGTGGTATGAGGTCAGCGGCTGTGCAATTGAGAAGTCTGGAGTTGATGGCGAGTGCAGGTACACTCAAAGAGTAGTCATTGCGCTCAATTGAGTGTTGCGAGCGCCGCCATGGCTGGCTGGATATAACTTACATTGCTGTCGAGATGAGTGTCGTGAGTGTAGAACAAAGGTAGGAGCCGAGCTGGTCGAAATACCTAGGTGGGTGCGGGGCTCGCTTAGCTAGAACGGCTTAGCGCCCAGCCCTGGAACAGACGCCAAGAGGAGTTCACGCGCCGCGTCACCTGCCTTACGTCAAACCTCATTCATTCACCGACATCATTCCGAAGCAGCGTTATTTCCTGCGGGGTAGCGTTGTAAGATGGCGGGCGAGGCAGTCGCAAGGCTGCATGTTCAGGTCGCGGGTGAGAATGCATATGGTGAGTTGGTGATTTTCGAATCATGATCAGCAAACTAACGTATGCAGGAACGCACGGAGGCACGATCGAAGTATGTGGGAACGAGCAGTTCTATCTTGGGAGGGATCCAGAGCTCTGGTGAGCGCTGTATCCTAAGCTTGATATGATCTTGTTCTAATCCTACCGTCAGTCGCTACTCGTGGAGCGACGACCTCACTATTTCAAGGAAACACCTGCGCATCCATTGCATTCTATATGAGCAGGACCCAATTGCTAAGATCGCCCCGTTCGTTTACGCGACCGATCTCTCCGCAAATGGTACCTACCTCCGAAAGAGTAACTCAGAATACACGGCATCGCAAGATGCAGGCATTCTGATGGGTCCCAAGAGCACCTTCCTCTTAGAAGATGGGGATGAGATCCGTATCTCAGACACCGTCACTTTAGTCTACTACTCGAACATACCGGCAGAGCTTGTCAAGTTGACCGCCATTCAGGAGCGCGAAAGACAAACATTTGCATCGCGCTACCTCCTTACTGGGCGTTTGCTCGGCGAGGGCGGTTACGGCAAGGTACTAGTGGGCATCAATCAAGAAACACAACGACAACTTGCATGCAAGATGATCCGACTGGACAAAATGTACGACACATTGGCAATGTCAAACTTGCAGGAATCGGAGAGGAGACAACTGCCAAAACGAGTTACCAATTGCTTTCGCGAGTTCGATATTCTCAAAGACCTTGGCCATCCCAACATCATCGCCATCGAAAAGGTTTTCCGGAATAACAACACCATTTACATCTTTGAAGAGCTCGTCAGGGGGGGTGATCTCTTTTCCTTTATCGAGTTCAAGGACGGCCAGATTGATGGTTTACATGCTGCGTTTATCATCTACCAGGTCTTGAAGGGAATGGAGTATCTCCACGATCAGGATATCGTACACCGGGACCTGAAACCAGATAACATACTCATGTCATCTCTTGAAGATAGTGCTCGCGTCGTCATTACCGATTTCGGCAGTGCTAGATTCCTGCCCGGAAAAAATAGCCAAAATCCGCCACAGAACAACAAGTATCACCGAATGTTCTCTTACGTCGGTACCTTGGAGTACACGGCGCCTGAGATACACCGACTCAACAAGGCAATCCCAGTCGATGATGGCTACTCAAAAGCTGTCGATATGTGGTCTATCGGTTCAATTACGGCTACTGTACTTACCGGCGACTTGATGTTCAGTGACCGCAGACACCCGGAGTACGACGCTAACCCTCGCGGGGTGATCTTGGGTCTCGCAGCTATTTGTGACCTTAGTAACCTGGACGACCCTGATCACCCGTTGTGGGTCAATATCGGCTATCATCCAAAGGACTTCATCAAAGGTCTGCTCGTACTCAAAGAGGAAGAGCGTATGACAGCATCGGAGGGTCTAGCGCACGAGTGGTTCTCATCGTATGCTGAAGACTTTGATAAGCTGTATACGAACGCGACTACAGATTGGAAACCCAGAGAGAAGAACCTTGATCTTGTCGAGATTATCCCCAAGTCGCTATACAACCGCATTGCAGCTGATTTCATCGGCGGTGTTCAGAGTCCAGGCATCAATTCGCAACACTTCCCTACAAGTCAGTCTCAAGATACGCATAGGATGGCCCAGTCGGCTCAATGATGGCGTGAAAAAACTCCTTTGCCATCGATCATGCAAAACCACAAGGCAGCTCAGTTCGCCAGTCAAGTACAGGCCTCATCTAACGACGAACGAGGTATGTATCATTTCACTGAAGATGCAGATGATGACAGTGATGGCTCCGAAAAGAGCTTGAACGGGGTTATGAACGACTACTCACAGCAAGGATACTACGAACATCTCCCGCCGCCTCCCGGACAGGACTGCGTTTTGGTAAGCGAGACACCGATTGATATTTATCGCCAACGGCAGCAGTTTGAAGAGCATGATCAAGATTCCGTTCTTGTTCAAGAGACACCGCCTGAATTCCTCCGCCAGCATTTGTACTTATCGGATGATAATGTACCGGTCTGCGATCTGTGGATTTGTGATGATGCGGCGAATATGGGTGGTGATGCGCAAGCTCCAAGCAAGCGAAGGAAGGTCTCGCATTATACCCGCTGAGCTCCGCTATTTGATCTTCGACTAATCTACAGAGGGACTAATAACTTTATGCAGCAGCTGTAAGGGTATGGCAGATGTGTATTTCTCAAGGCTACTTCTTTCTGATACAAATATCTTTGATTCCTGATATTAATCATGTCACCAGGATGTGTTCTGATGTTGTCCCTCACAGTCTGAAGTACCATAACGCACAGACAACGTGCTTTTCAAATCTTTCGCACCGCCATCGACACCTCGCTAGCAAATTTGATCCGCATAGTCCAGAGAGAACGTTTGGTGAAAGTCGCCAAGTCATTGTCTCGCCTACCATATTATTCAGAGATCGAAAGCTTCTCAGTTTTCTTGCTAAGATTCACAGATAGACGTACAACCAACTTTAACAACGCTGACGATTTCAACAGACCTGCAAATTAGTCGGCATGATGGAATACCCTGCCGGTCGCAGGTTGTTAGCCTATGGTGAGTGATTACTCGTTGTTTAACTGTACATGTTACGTTCCAGACGGTATATGAACAATCAGATCTCGGACTTTACTCCTGTAATGTACAGCCTGCGCCACTTGTCGAAGTACCATGTTCTCTTCGCGGCTTCCAAAATCCCAGTCGTTTGACTCCGACGATGAAGACAACTGCAGAAGGGTGTGCAAAATGGGAAACTTGAGGTCTACCATGAGAGCTAATATATTCGGCTGACTATCAGATACAATCACGACTCTGATGCGTATGTCATCAGAGGATTTGTGGAACTGGCTGCGAAGGTGGCTGACTTAGTCGAGGCGTAAAGTGATGCGTCTTCGTTCTCGTTCCCGTTCCGACTCGGGCGCTGTGATATGATCCACTTTCCAATAGTGCAGTTTATGAATCGTGGCTATAGTAAGGTTCAAAGTCGCGGACTAATGCGTGGTAGTAAATGCACCATGACGTATGCCAAAACGCGCGACCAACCTCAACACTCCTTTCCTCTGGGTCGCGCGATAACGCGTCGCATCAATTCAGGATTGTTTTTTTGTTTTCTCACTTCAACTTACTCCTCTCAAAGTTCACTTCGCTATCATGACACCTACCAAAAAACGCCTCGAGAAAGAGTTCCAAAGCCTACGCAAAAGTCCCGCAGAGGGCTACCACGTCGACCTCAAACACGGCGATATCTTCGAATGGATCGGCACCCTCCATGGCCTTGACAACTCCCCTTACGAAGGCGGCACTTTCGCCTTCCACATCCAGTTCACCGATGACTACCCAGAGAAGCCGCCAAAAGTAAATTTCACAACTAAAATCTACCATCCCAATGTTGATGGCAGAACGGGGGTTGTTAGCTGGAAGATGCTGGGAGAAGACTGGCATCATAACCATACCATGGAGAAGATATTGATGAGCCTAAGGACGCTACTTGATCACCCTGAGTTGGAGAGCGCGGTGGAAGTCAAGATTGCTAATGAATATGCGAATTCGAGGGGAGCATTTGAGATGCATGCAAAACAGTGGACGTTGAAGTGCGCTAAGGAAGGTTCTGTGCCGACTGGTTCTACGTAGGAATGAAAGAGTGGACCATTACAATCAGAGTTGCTATCAGTCAATCAGTCAGTTGTCAGTTCATCTTTGCGGTTCAAACTGTCAGTCTGGAGGTAGTGAACTGACCTGATTGACTGCCAAGACATTTTTTAGAATCGCGAACTGAGACT